CTTGAGGTAATTTATAGTTGGTATAAGTGGAAAATGAATTTTCACATTAATATTTTATATATTAACTACTGTTACATATCAGTGTTTCATATATATAGTATTAGAATTAAATTTGTAATATCAACCAAAATACATAGTAAATTTATTTCTGCTGGGATTTTATTTTTAAAAATTCGGGTCCAAATTGTAATTTTTATTATTTTCGCTTACGAAACAAAGAGCTAGTGGGATAAACTGTAAATATTGCTTTAATATTTTGGTAAATCTTCGTTTTCCTTTTTCTTCGTGTACGGGGGATTAGCCTCATTTAGTTCTCGTAGTTGTGGCTTAGTTTGTTCTGTAATTATTTTGATGGTTCTCTTTCGTCCGTTTTTGCTTTAGATGTTTATTTTTCGTAGCTCTTCTCCTACCTGCTGCATCCATTTAGTTTTTGGTTTGCCTCCTCTTTCTTTTTGCCTGGGTTCCAACCTCTAATATTTTTTATTAGAAAGTTGCCTTTTATACGGTTTACGTGACCTATGGCCAACACAATCTTGTTGATTTTATTTCTGTTGGCGTCGTTTCTTTCTAATTCGCTTCATACTTCAGGATAGACCGAATGTGGTGTTTGTGACTCTGGAGAACCACTCTTTTTAGCGGTAATTGGTCCGGAATAACATCCTTAACAATAATTAGGGGGTTCACAGTAAATCTGGAGAGAGGACACATGAATAACTGCAAAATTAGACAAAGAAACACTTTCTTTCGCATATTTCTGTAATTTTTGTTCCTTGTTTAATTTCCTACAAGATAATGCTAATTAGATCGAAAAAAAAATAATTTGTTTATTTAAAAATTGTCAAAAACTGTTAAACATGCCTGCTGAAAATACCATTTTTTTACAATTCTTAACCAAAAAGTGGTATTTTTGATCACGGTTAACTAAAGGTCAAACATAGACATAACGCCACATTTGTTGAATAAAAATCAATTTTCTTTGAAGATTATTAAAATTGCACAAATTGTAATTGAAAACTTCTTTAACATGGAAATTGTCCTGCCGTCAATGATTATTGCCGATTGTTGCGAAATATATATATAATATAAAGAAAGTTTAATATATTTCCAAGGATGAACGTTTTAGCGAGATGTGACGAAATCCGTTTCTCCATTTTCTACACGGTTTGAATTATTCCGCTCGTGTTCACTACAGAGAAGTGCCGGTAATGAAATCCGTCAATGACTGCATCCACCGTTGATCCGGGTTAGATCCGCCTGGAGACCAGTTATTGCATCTGCAATGTTCGAACAACGGTGTCCGCGTGCAGGATCCTTTCAGGAAACGACGCTGCCCCTTTCAGCTTGATCGCTTTGAATAAATAGAACATTTGCAGGAAGGCCTGTCTGCCGATTCATCGGCTTCAGTTATAAATCTTCCGAATACGAGCCACGTACACATATTTCATACTCAGGCCCGTCTGACGTCACGATATACATGCATTCAAACTTGTTGAGACTTGGGACTGTCTTTCGCCTTCGGAAGCGCCAATGCATATAAAGTAGGGCGGAATTGGAGGCAGTACTAGTTCAGTTTTTCTCTGCCACTCTTTTAGACCAGTTTTCATGTTTAAAGATTTTCTTCTTTATCAACTGGGAAGCGGCTATACAGATGAAGCACGTGAAGCGTCTCATCTTCATGTGTATTCTGAATAGGATCGAGATTTATTTTTCCGACAAAATGAATATATCGGGTTGTTCGGAAAGTCATTTCGTTTTTTTTTTTTTTTGTGGAAATGAAAGACAGTTTTCGTATAATAAACAAATACTTTATTAAATTATATATTGACCGTTCTGGTCCAACACCTTTTGCCATCTTTCTGGTAGTAGCATAATTCCACGCTCATAAAATTTTTGGTCTTTGCTGGCAAAAAACTGATCGAGGAGGTTTTTGACCTCCTCATTTGAGGTGAAGGTTTTACCGTCTAAAAAATTTTCGAGTGACCGGAACAAATAATAATCCGATGGTGCCAGGCCTGGAGAATATGGTGGGTGTAGCATTGTATCCCATTCAAGCTGTAAAAGCTTTTGGCGAGTGAATAAACTTGTGTGAGGTCTCGCGTTGTCTTGGTGAAACACTACACCTTTCCTGTTGATTAGTTCTGACCTTTTCTGTTGAAGTGCATCATTCAGTTTGTCCAGCTGATGACAGTAGACTTCCGAATTAATCGTTGTATTATCCGGTAAAAGCTCAAAAAAAACGATTCCTTTAAAATCCCACCAAACAGACAATTCTGGCACTGGCGTACTGTCAACACACCTTCTCCATACACATCAGTCAATTTCTTTCTGGTTTGAACAGCATTTTTACCCTTTCTGTAGTAAAACAGTAAGATATGTCGAAAATGCTGCTTATCACTCTCTATATTTAAAAGGGCACCAACCAAAAACTACTGCGTAGAATTAATTGGAATTTTTCACACACAAGCCTTGCTATATGAGCTCTCAAAGCATATAAAAATTATACGGCTTAAATGTGAAGTTGGGTGCAAAAAAATACAATTAAATCCTCTGTCGGGAAAAAACGAAATGACTTTCCGAACAACCCGATAGTTTCTGTTATACTTATTTTTATACAAATGAAGACACTTTGCATAGAGCACTTTCTAAAGTTTTTAATAGCCCTTGTAATAACTTTAGTATACATAGTAAATTATCAAGTGAAGAGCTAGGCAAGTGGCAGCCGCATCTCTGCCATCGCGTGAGGGTTGCCCTGAAGACAGCGGTAAATTTGTAGGCTTAGCGCTCATTACCTATCCTTGAACAAGGAAGAGACCACGGTGAGTTAATCAGTTCAATGTTGTGCAAAGCTGACAGTAGCAAGCAAAATGAATCCGTCGTTGACGATATTGTTCGGAATTTGTTGGTGACACTTTTCTGATTCTAAGTTTACCTTTTCTCAGTTTTTTGCAACTCTTCGCCTATTTTTGCACAAGCGGCGGACTGAAAATAGACTTGTTGAGAGGTTGTCGTATTCGAAACGGCAATTTACAACAACTGTTATAACGCGAGGGTTAGTTATGTACCGTGTCCTTTGTAACAAAACACCATCAAAAAGTAAAGGAAATATAATGATTCGGTTGAAACGTCGCCTCCCTTTATAAATACTCAAGAAACCTCAAGAAGTTTTGGCGTTTTAATTCTATTTTCTACAATACCCACGTCTGTTCTAAAAATATAAATGTCTTGAATTTTTTTAAAAAATAAACTTAATAAAAATCTTTTCAAACTTCAACGACAAGTTTTAAAATTAGGTTACGCGATAGTTTAGTTGCATAATACTATGAACGTTTTCGCGAAGACGTCATTTATATACCTATTGTACTCCATAACCAATGTAACATAATCATTTTTTTCATAATTGTGAAAACGTATGTCGTTATGAAGTGTCTAAATATTAAGTAGCAAGATTAAAACTCGATTACAAAAAATAAACGCTTAGAATTACATGAAGAATAAGATTGCCCCTCTTAACTCCGGTTTTTGCTTGTAATATGTCTCCAAATGGTCCTTTGTGTCTAAGAATGTGTTCTAAGAATGTACATATTAGGTTCATACATATTTTTTAATGATTTCCATAACGCTCTCTATTCTTCTACTTTTTCTAATACCTTCTAATTTGTAATATTATTACCTATGTTTAGCATCCTCCTATAACGCCACATTTTAAATGATTCTAGCCTTTTTTGTAATATGTCCCACCAAGTTAATAATTGTTTATTAATTCATTTCCATTTCATTTGGTAATGGTTATCGATGAAGTGACTTATTTAGAATTTACTCAAGTAGAAAACAGTATTTATTATTAATAAACCAACGTTTAGCCCATAGATTACGGTCTTCTTCAAATAAATGAAAAGTTAATAAAAATGGAGACTTAATGCAAGCAACTTGTAAAGGAAAAATGATACATTTCAACTCTAACATGAAAAATCGACTACGTATGTTGCTGCTATTAGACGAATTTTCTCGGAAAGTTGCATCATGAAGTAGTACAATAGCCGTTAAACTTTAATTACTTCAGCTGGATTATTCCATATCCAGGAACGCACATAATATAACCCAGAAAACATTCGGTTCTATCTAACTCAATTATTACTTCCGAAAGCCGGAAGAAAACATGTTTACGAACATCTGACGTAGTGGGAATATAAAACAGCAAGAAAACAGACATCACAACTTCACTGATTTCGTAGGGGAACCACATAAATCCAGGATTCGAGGCAGAGCTTTGTCTTTTATGGCGTGGCAATACATATCAAGTAGGAGTCAAGCTGTAAAGTGCATGTTCTAGGGCATTTTGAGGTAAACTTAGCCGACACGCGCGCACGTTACTTTATTAATTTCTAGATTAAAAGCTTTCTTTCTAAACACTTGTTTGGTAAAGGAAATTGAAAAGCGTAGCTCTGATAGCAGACACTATATTTGTATTAGTTGTTTGGTAAATAAAACAATTGCTATATTTTGAAATAAACATCACTGAGACATTTTGCCTTATTTAATCATCACTATTTAACAATAATAATAAGAATAAAAAGCGAGTTTAAAAGATACAATGCAGTATGTCACAAAGTGAAAAAGCAATCCTGATAATTGTTTTAGATATTATAAGCTAATCTCGAAGTGGTACACTACAAACCGACAATGAGAAAAACCATTTTCCTTTTACGTAAAAATCGTCTATTAATTTGAAGTTTACAAATGTATTCATGAATTATATATGTATGTACAATAAAATTTCCTCATTAGAAACATTTTTTGCCCTGCCTAATGATTAGCGAGGTCTACTCAAAATAAGAATTTGTGATAGAGAAAACTCTCATTGAAAATTTTGGATCTTTCTTTTGTACCTATATCTTGTTAAACAATTTTCACTTGTATTCAATTTCAAACCGATATCGGTTGGTTGAAACAACTTCATTTTGGGACAAGGTTTATACTGTTGAATTTCTACTTGAACTTACCACTCATCACCAATCATCCATTGTAGTAATGTGACATCAAAAAGCGTATGGTAGGTACACTTGGATCTGTAAATAAAACAAAAATATATTACATATAATAAGGACAAACGCTGAATATGACTATAAATATAACGTTTGCCTGATGTAAAGGCTAAAGATTCAAGATAGTCTCCCACAATTCCGGAAATATACTACACTTCATGTAGTTGCGGATAACTCTATATATATATAGGTATCACGAAACGTACCATAAACACCCGCAAAAAAGAACATTAACGTTAACTGCAGACTGCGACTGCCAGACAAATCCGCGATGGTAGAACATGGTTTGCAAGAAGTACATGTTATCAGTATTGAAGAAATTGACAAATTGGTTGACTCAACAAGTTACCATACAATTTTATGTCGCGAGGCCACCGAAAAACGGAAGCATCACTCCCGACAGCTTCAATAATAGGGAGGAGATCCTGAGAATAAAATCTGTTTATCAGATTTGAGCGAATCCCAAAGGTCCCAACGAAAGTATAAAGTTGTGAAGAATTACGGAGAACCTGCTCTGCCTATAAATAACGTACAACTACCACGGCTTGAAATAGAGGATATTTAAAGACGAGACCACTGCTTAACATTCGGTATGACACCGGGTCTCTTATGCCAATTTTGTGACAGACAATCTTTTGTTTTTATTTCGTCTGTCTGATCTTTCTTTTCCCGAACATCTTCCACTCATTCCCACGATTTCTGTAAGGAGACTGAAGTAGTCCTTCGAACCTACCATTTGTCTTTGCACCACGGTATAGGTCGGAGAGACTGCCTGCTCCTCATTACCATTAGTTGGTAGGAATGAAACACTTAAAAGTTTCAAGTTTAGTGCTTATGGGTTTTAGTTGGTAGGTCCTTCTCAGAGGGAATAATCCATACGGGTTAGAAGATTTCCACTTTTCCCCGCACCAAAAAACATACATCCTGGCTACCTTCCCTGAGGATACCGTCCACAGATGTCAAAATGTCGGATTGGTGTCAAATGTCGTATACTATCTTGTGAACGTTAGAAGTAACAATTATAGTTTTTCTCTGAAATTTCAAACGACGTGAAACCCAAAAATCAAAAGCACAAAATTAAGCTTTTACGAAGTCAGTTACATGTCTTTATGTTCCTCCTCCTAGCAGTTTTTTTATTGTAGAAATTACATTGTCATTAACAAAAACATGATACTTATCTAGGTAAAACCAACAAATTCTAACTACAAGTTGTGAAATGTCCCTTTGTCACAGTAATCATCAGCTTTCAGAGAACTCATTGTCGACTTTCTATACAGTTTCTCGTTAAGTACTTTACTGGGAGATAAAAGCAACAGAGAATGAATTTTCTTCGATAGCAAACAGGCAATCGATGCGATGGCGTGGTGTGACTGGTTGAAAACAATAAAAAAGGACTATTACAGCTCGTCCTAGAGGTGCAAGATACCGACACCGAATCCTGTTGTTCGGCTGCTGTGATAAACGATCCAGATGTTGTATCGTAAAGAGCACCCTCAGGCAGAAAATTAAACAGGTTTTAACCTGGTGCTCATTTCAACAATTTCCTACGAGCTGAAGCTTCACACAAGGGTTTGTTTATGTGTTTCTTTTTTAATTTTGCCGGTTTATAGCGCACATAAAAATTAAATATACCAACCACGTAACCATCCAAACGCAAACAAAAAAACTATAATCCCATCGTGAAACACTGGAGTAAAAAAAAATACTTTTTGAATAAGGAAACGTTTTGTGGATTCCACAGTAAAAAATGCTTTCAAGTTTCTATTTTTTAGTAGTACTTCTACATTTAGTAAGTGCTAAGTCTAGTTTTGAAGGAACTTAAGGATGTTTGGGAGGTATGTCAAAATGCTACGAGACAAATAAAAATTTGGAAGAACGTTCCTTATTCAATTCTAAAACTCCTGTAAAAATTACAAATCGATTCACTAAACCGTTAAAAAGTTATTGAAATTTTAAAAAATTGTAATTTTACACGTCATTTTATGGAGATTCGTTAACCGAACAGATTAAATTTATTTTTATTAACAGAAAAAAAGCTACCAGAAATTTCAAACTTTTATAATAAGTAACTTGAACTCTGGAGAATCACTTTAGCGTAAGGTTATTCAAATTCACTAAATGGTTATCGAGAAAAAAATGAAAAATTAGCTGAAAATCTCGTTTTTACTTGATAATATAATGATAATATTTATAATTGTCTGAAATAAATGCAATTTTAAAGTTTTAATTATTATTTAAACATATTAAAAAGTTTTACGCTCATTATTAATAGAGATTGAAACTAAATATTTTTTTGTTTCGAAGTTGAAATTAAGGCATATTCACTGCCAAAAGTCAGTTAAAAATTTTCCATATTATTCGTTATTTCTTATTTTATTCAAAGTTTTTGGTCAAATTCCAAATTTTCTCTCAAACCGTATACTTTTCTTTAGTATAGATAGTATTTATTTACCTCATGATATGCTGCAAAACCTAATTAATCACGAATTTCTAATTTTGTGTAACTACTCTTGTCTCCGATTGTACCTCCCAAACATCCTTAATACATAAAATATCTATTTGTATATTGTAAAAAGAGCTGAAATTAGGACGATAGATTAAGTGAGATATTAGAGTCGAGGGGTTATTATATAAATGGTTTGGCTTTCTCTATATTCCTTACCATTTCTTTTAATTTCAAACCCATACATACAGTATTTGTTTCATAACAAAATAGAAAATGCAATGTCTGTGAAGTTTGCAATCGAAAAATCAGTAAAAGGTTACATAAAATTATTCGTCAATACATTTACTGTTTGTTCAATTTAATTTGTAAATCTGTTTTGATTTTGTTCCTTTTAAAAAAATTGTCTAAAATTGCATTCAGTGTCATTTTACGTAAGATTGAGAAGAGAATCTGTATTTCTAGATATTAATCGAGCTAGTCATTGTTGTGAAACTACGACCTAACAAATGTTTATAAATCCGTTCTCAAAACCAGTTTGGGATATTCAATGCGCAAAAGTTATTAATTAGTCCACTACTACAAAAAATAAAGCGTTTTTGTCTTTCCCTGTTGGTTTTTGGAAATTTATATTTCCGGATGAGAAATATTTTTCATTTTATATGTAAATAACCACACAAAGGTAAGTATTTATGAAATTTTTGTTTGTTCAAATGTGGTGTTTTGGCCAGCCTGTAACGATTGCACCAGTGGAGTGAAGTCCATGAATGCAAACAGAAGTTAGTTGTAAACAAATTACGTGCAAACACTGGAGGCTGTACAATCTATGTAGCATGCAAATGTTCGGGACCGGCACGTTTTGATTTTCTGTCAGAATGTAAACAAAAAGTTTCGAGCCAACTAGCGAGTTCACAAAATTCACAATTTAATCGATAGCCGATTGTGTTGTAATTTTCATGATCAAATTGATAGTCGTGTAGAGAGTAGAGATAGTCCGAATGGAATGATTCAATTTTAACCTCTGTACTTCACACTTTTGCTCCTGATAATTAAAGGGATTATTAAAAGGACTCAATATCGGACAAATAAGGATTTGCTTTGCGCGCCGAGGATTCTGTACAAGTGTAATTAATTAAATAATTAATTTCGATAGTTCATGTTTTGCGTTAAAATCTGTAGGTAAATATACTTAATACCAATTCGGATGTATACTTCATTTACTTTCTCTAGCGATGTGGACTTTCCAATGTCTTGGATGCGCGCTAGAAAAATCGTAGGTAGAAAGAAAAAAGCTCATTATACTCTCGACTCTTGTTCATTAAACATACTTTTTCAAACAGTACCTGCCAAAGTTTTGTTCAATCATGAATAGTAGTGCGAGTCGAAAACAAGCGTTAAAGCCTTTAATATATCTTCAAACAAAAAACATCCCGTTGATAATTTCAGTAGTAAATTGTACCAATAACAGCACATTTGAGCAATGCAATTGTAGTGGATAAAATGGTGAATTCTTCCGTGCAATACTGTGCGGATTATACGCTCCTCACCGATTAAGAGTTTGACCCAGAGTTGTCTCCTTTCTTTTCTGGCCTAGTGCTGTTTTTTTCTATTTTGCGCCGGTCAAACTAAAGGTCACATGTCTACAGAAACTAAAAGAAGTATAGTTCTTGTCTAGAACGCAAGTACGTGAATCATATATTAACTTAAAGGTCTTGACATTGTTCTTGATTAAAAAAGACTACTGGGCAATCAGCCACACGGCTGACACGATTAAAAGTCGCGCCATAAGAATACATGTATTATTTAAGTCCTTGCGGACGAATTTCCCGAGTGTCTCCTATAAAGATCCTGAGTGATACCAAGTGAATGGTACCTATATGTGCCTATGAGTCCCGAAAATTGAAAAACGTCATAAAACTGTCTACATTACCAAAATTATAGGGCTGTTTTCAGTAAAATTATCGAGTGAAGCTTCATTTTCGTTTTTCGGAACCAACTCAATATTATTTATCTAATATCATCGTAGAAATAATCTTATAAATTCCAGTTTCCTACCATGTGTAAAGATCATTTAGAAAATCTGAAGTATGTCGACGTGCAAGAAGTTAAATGAAACTAACGTAAAACTAAGTAAATACAACCAGAACCAAAATACTATGTAGGTACATTGCTTGGCACTTGGAAAATAACTGAAAAAAGATTTTACATTCGCGATTTGTTTTTATGATTCGAACTTTTTTCGATCAGTTCATTTAATAATGTTGATCGAAGGTAATTTCCGTGATATTTTTCATGTTATTTCTCTTCGTCTTTTCATTCGCTTTCGCGATGGCAAACGGCATCTTATCTTTCTTTGTCGTAAATCGCCTGTTTGGTCTCGTTCGTTTAAAGAAAAATTCCACGAGATCCTGAGACCGTCGTCGAGCTCCTCTTCTAACTAATGACGCTTAACGAGAGATCATAAAAAGCTGCCGACGAAGGGCCAATGACAGAAGAAGTCGGCATGGTGTAGTCCAGTGGCGACACTATCCAAATTTAAAAAATGGATAGAACTATACGAACTTTTGTCGTTTTTAATAAA